CAATTGAAAGAGAAGGTGGTGTTTGCTTTTATTAGAAAGCTTAATATAAGTCCATAAAGAAATGAAGAAAGTGCGGTTAGATTGAGCACCTAGATCTTAGTTTTAATATAAAGTATAATATAATGTTAAGAGATCCATGAAGGGAATCATAGGAGATTGTGAAGAAGATTATATTGAATTAAAATAAGCTCTTAGGAAGCATGAAGAGGCGGATATCATAAAAATAACCCTTTGCAAGTTGGCATTTGCATTAGTGTTATTGGGTTCAAGTGCTTTCAGGATTCTAGTTGATCTCTGTAGATGTCATAAGATAGTCTGTATATGGAAGTTATAGCTGGAGTTTTGACTGTCAAAAAGAGGGGTTTTACCCAATCAATTGCATGCCCACCTGGAAAATTTTGTGGATGTAAACGTATATCATTTCTTTATTGTGCTATACACTTTGATCATGTTTATCTTCTATCTACTTGTATCATTTTAATGTCAGTACTACAGTACTCTTACTTCATTTACTTTTTTGGATTAAACTAAGACTATTGAGAGCTGTTTAAAGTTTCACTTAATTCATCTTCTTGTATTTAAGGTAACTGGAATAAAAAATACAAGTATAATATATATGTTTTGTTTTTGGGCAACTAGGGTTGTTTTAGTCAGTTTGTGTGCACATTGACTAATCTTTCGGGACCCTGAAATCAAAAACCGAGTAAACCTTCTAATGGTCAACTCTATTAGCAACTAAAGAGAATCGAACTCAAAATAATACACCTAAAAGTTTCTGTCCCCACTTGACCACGCAAGAGTGGTTACGTACAAGTATAAATATTATTGTTATTCCTCCATCAGTTTTGTCATCCCTCAACATGGCCTTGCATTATAAAGTTGATATATCGAATTTAACGCAAGTTGAAAGAGTTCTGTATAGTTGTAAACCACAAGTGAATAAAACTTAACACAAGCCTAGAGAGATTTGTGTTGACACTTTACACAACTCAAAAAGCTTAGAGAGGAAAGAGGATAAAGCCTAGAGAGATTTGTGTTGACACTTTACACAACTCAAAAAGCTTAGAGAGGAAAGAGTTATTTATCCCTTGGAGATACAGAAGGGATACCACTAGATAGATATACACATAACCACAATAGTGGGGCTTTGATTTGAATTTTTAAATCACTTTTGGCTTATGGCAAACACGTTGGCAACAAATTGGTTAGTGCTCGTATGCATATTTGCAATCCGTTTTCACGTATTAAACTCAATCTTTATCTTTTGCCAGTTGCCCAGAAACACCATCTTCAATACCCACAAAATCTTATATATTATAATGAGGAATTGAGGATATGTTGGTTAAGTGGTCATCCTTTTCAATATTTTTGAGATACTTTGCCACCTTGAACCTTTAATCATGTGAAGTATTCATAAAGAAACTCAAACCTCAAACCTTATAAGAGTAAATCATCGACCTGACCGCTCGATTAACCCATCATGAATAAGTTATCGAGCAAAATATTATTAAATTTAAAGTTCATAAGATTCAAGAGAAGGATAAACAAAAAGAATTCTATTGGCCGCTGCTACTTTTTATTCATGATGACATCAAAATTATTAATCAAGATATTCTTACAACAGAGATGGGCAAAATAAAACTGAATAGCCCCATGAAGGTGAGTAAATGAACTATACATAGAAAGGATTTCTTCTTTATACTACATAAATTATGGTACTTATGATGGCTTCTAAGATAATCGTCCTAACCTGATTTTTGACACTTTCTAAAGACGATATAATTTCTATTTGGCGGCTTCTCCTTTTTGACCCCTTGCTCATGGGTTTAAGCAAAATAAATACAGCTTGCATTATATAACAAAATAACAAATCATGCTATTGAATGTCATGAATGCCACTGGCGAGTCGTTTGAATGCTGCTGACATAGTGGGTGAGATACGCGATTATAATGTTCGCATATGTGATCAAGGTTACCATCCATTTGAATGGTGAAGACAATTTCGAATATGCATGTGAGTTGAAGAGCTGATACCGTCTGTTTAATACGATTTAAATGAACTGTTAGCTGTAGATGCCGAGTAGACTCATTGCTCAATTTTGCGCAGCTCCCAGTTACCCTCGCCATCAATAAGCCGTAACTCCATTGAGTGGAATGGTATTAGAGCGTATCAAAATCAAGCATCAACAACTAAATAGACAAGTGACAAATCAATCTACTTCTTTGTTTACTGATGGCATTTTCTATGTGCGCATATATATATATGTGCTCTTGTGGCATGTGTATTTCAAGTATGTTTCATACACAGTTATTTCCTGTCACTGAACTGACAACTCATGTGTGTTATAGTGTATGGGATGTGGAGAAATGTTGACAAGAAAACCCCACTGGCTAACAGTAACATAGAACTCTGGACATATATTCAAGAGGTTTTGAATTTGATATATAGATTATAATAGAGTGACCATGAGAAAATTTACTCGGCTGTCAACTTCAAGACCGGGGAATTAATTGAGACCTGGTAAGCTTAAAAAAATGTTGACAATAAGTGTGTGATAGACATAAAACTTGAGTGCCCGGGGCTTTTAAGGATATTATTTATATATCATAAGTTTTATGTTCTGCTTTCCTTGGTTGTGCTGTAACTGGAAGTCTGAATCTGGTTGTTACTCAAGTTGGAACTGATGCTCGTCAGAGCTTAATGTTTGCTGTGGTTGTTCGCATTGCTGGGTAGAGTTGAATAAATCATTTGTTTATGATATTAAGGTTTAAAGTGATTGCTGGCTATTGGTTAAAGAGTTTCCGAGAAGTAAAGGGGGTTTATATGCATTTCCAATGTTTTTGACTGTTACCCAGGACAAAATACTTTAAAAATATGATCGAGTTGGGCTCTCTCAGAATTTCCAGGCTATTTAAACCTTTCCTGGCCTCCACCAGCTTGGTTAAAGTAAGTGTTTCTTTGTTCTAGCTGTTCACATTTTCAACTGAAAATGCATCCTAATTAGCCTTCTTGTGTGGTTCTATCTCCATAGCATGAAATAGTCAATTCTCAGGTATATTTTTTGTGTTATACTCATGGTCTGTTTCTGATATCTCAAACAGTAAACTTTAGAAAAATATGAACCGTTTACAGTTTATGAGTAGGTTTTTTACTTTAAAATATTTTGATACTGTAAATGAGTCGTTTAAGCTCTTTAAAACCAAGTGATTTAACAGCTGATATTATGGATGAAAATACACACTAATTGACTTAATTATCATATGATTAATTCACTACAAAATTGCAACACAAAGAAGTTTCATTTAGTCACCTTCTATACACTACTCTCATAGATAACAAACTAAAAAAGTTGCTAATAAGAATCAACACCAACCATAATCAACTTAGTGCTAGCTAATTAATTAAAGTGCTTCCAAAGCACCCATAGGCAAATAATTCATAATCTACACAATGAAATGCCCCACCATCACCACATCCACACTCTTCATGAGACTCTCTTCTTCAACCTCTCATTTCTTTTCATCTCACCAGCGTTGGAACTTCAACTTTCATGGCTATTGCACAGAAGGGGCTTAACATCTTCGTTATAAACCCTAGTATTATTACTTTGCTTTGAAGGCATCACAACCCAGTTTTCTATTCCATTTTTGGTGATTCAAGGCTTTTTCCATGAAATTTAGCTCTTCCCAAGAGTTGTGACTTGCATTTTTCCAAGAAATGATGGGGTTGTCCTTCTCCACCCAGCTCAAAAAACTACACTTGTTTGCTTCAAGTTGGAGATGGAGTCTTCACTTCCTAAACACTCCAATGAGAAGGACTCATTCCAGATGAGATTACCAGAGCTTGGTGAGTCTCTTTTGTGTTTAGTTGAATCTCTGTTGTGGCTGCAAATTCTTTATAAAATAGCAAATTTATATTTAATTTGTTTACATCTATAAAAATTAATACTTTTAATAGCATTTTTCTATTAACAGAATAAGCTTTACTTGCATATTACAGATTACTCAACCATCCTCAATTTTCCATAATCCAATTGCTTTATAAGCTTGATTGAATTGAACAATCTTCTGGTAAGACAATTCAAAAATTTATCTGATGCTGAAATAATAAGATGACTGAATAATCAAGAAACAATTGATACAAAAAACCACCACTGAATGTATCAAGTTTAGATACTGGATTAAATAAGCAACAACAAAAGGTTCTTAAACTTTTATTTAATAAAAATAATCATAAAAAAACTGCATTATTATGGCTATAACAGCCTTTTTATAGTTTTCCCTAATAAAAAAAAAATCAAAGAGAAAGAACATTAAACAATAAAAAAAAAAAACCAAGAAAAAGAACATTAAACAATTATCACAAAAAAGGTCCCAAAACATACAAAAAGTTGCAAATAAATCCAAAAAAACTCTAGAAGTTTGCAAACACACTTGCAAACATAAAAAAAGGCCTAAAAACGCATCTAAACGATTCCGAAAGCCTAAAAAACGACAAAACTCATGATTGCCACAAGCCTAACTTATTTGATCGTTTCGAAGTGCCACGCCAAAATTCGTCGCATTCTGACATGTCAGCGCTATTCAACACTGTTCACTATTCATCACTGTTTATATGACGCTGTTCATTAATGCATCATTATCCCTTAACTTTGTGGCTGCAAACCAAATCAAATCAGATTTACACTGAGAAATTATCTAAACATTTTATTTCTATCATAAAAAGATGCCCAAAACTCATGATTGCCACAAGCCTAACTTATTTGACCGTTTCGGAGTACCACGCCAAAATTCGTCGCATTCTAAGTTCTAACATCGTCGGCGCTATTCAATACTGTTCACTATTCATCACTGTTTATATGACATTTTCATTACTGTTTATTAATGCATCATTATCTCTTAACTTTGTGGCTGCAAACCAAATCAAATCAGATCTACACTGAGAAATTATTTAAAAATTTTATTTCTGTCATAAAAAGATGCCCAAAACAAAACTAGAATTCTTCATAAATAGAAAATGTATTTTCTTTTTCTAAATAGAACATATAGTTGAAAAATCTTGTTCCTAATTAGCAAATTTAACCCTGACCCTTGGTAAGAGGATTAGGTTATGTACTTTATATGGCTTGATTATATTAATATTCATGTATTTGATGGTTTCAGGTAGATTATGGAGCGGCTATTCCTCTACCTTTCAATATGGAGATTCTGAAACACGCAAGATTTTGCTGCATGCGAAGGTTCCTCCCAAAGTTAAATTCCACAACATATGTGGGATCAATCTTGAGACACCTCACAGTGTTGGGTATGGTTTTTATTTTAAATGTTCCATCAACAGTTAAGCTAGAAACATGTAGCATTAGGTTGAAGCTTAAGAACTTAAAGAATTTTTGCTATTTCTAGGCGGGTATTTGTCTTCTTTGATTTTACATTTACTGTGCAGTTATGGAAGTGAAGATGCACCTGTTGCAGATTTATCAGAACTAAGATTTCTCCAGGTCATTGTCCTCTAAATATTCCTTCTCATGTTATGTAGTGTAATTTCTGAAGTTAATATGTAACAGGTATTATCTATGGCATAGTTTTCTCCTCTTTTCATTTTTATCTTAATGTCTTATCGGTATGTAATGAATTTTTGCTTTCAGTGATGTATTGGTTGCAAAATTTCATATATCTTTGTATATTTGCAGGCTAAATATGTATGTGTTGATGGCGGTGGGACTGTTCCAACTGAATCAGCCAAGGTTCTCTAGCTTCCGTGTTAAACGATTATTTCCGATGTGATGATCTACCATATTAATTATGCTACGAAAATTAAAAATTGAAGCTGTCATTTGATTACTATTTTTGTGACTACAAAATCACGCTGATGTCAACTTAACAAGTGTCTAAAAGACAAAATATACTAATTGCCAAACTCATACCGCCTCAAATATATTTATACCAACCCTATCTCATTTTAAGAGATGGATAGATGAGAGTTTTCCATGTGTCAAGGTAATTTGCAAAACACTTATTATATTGACCTCAAAGGTGTATAAATGAGCACATTTCTTCATGAAAAAAGGAGGCTGAGCAGATAAAAGCTAGACATAGATTTGAGCTTTATTATCTTTCTCTGTAAATAAAGTTTTTATCTATCTTTGTATGTCTTACGAGCAATATCATAGAAATAGCCAGAGAATAGCAAAATAACAGTAGATGTAGGATTCGTTTTAAGCATCCGAACCACTTTAAAAACTTCTTTTGGCAATCTTTTATTTATATTTTCTGTAAACATATATAATCTTAGCACCATATTTAAATCTTATGAATTCATCACGTGTAATTTCTAAGATTCTCTTAACACTTTACACATGCAAGTCGTTGGTATCAAAATCAAGCATCAACAACTATAATAAGACTAAGTGACAAAATCAATCTACTTCTTTGTTTACTGATGGCATGATTTTCTATGTGCGCATATATATGTGTGCTCTTGTGGCATATGTAATTTCAAGTACGTTTTATACACAGTTATTTTTCCTGTTACTGAACTGACAACTCATATGTGTTATATAGTGTATTAGAACTGGGAATGTAGAGAAATGTTGACAAGAAAACCACCACGGGTTGATTATCGTCAACAAGAACTTTTAGGTATATTATTCAAGAAGTTTTAAATTTGATTCATCTGGATTATTAATAAGAGTGACCACTGAGAGGATTTACTCGGTTGTCAACTTCAAGACCTTGAAGGATTAGTTGAAGTGTACATAAACTTAAAAAAAAATTGTTGACAAGAAGTAGAGTGATATAGACATAAAACTTGAGTGCCTTAGGGCTTTTGAGAATATTATTTATCATAATCACAAGTTTTATGTTCTGCTCTCCTTTGGTTGTGCTGTAACTGTGAAGTCTGAATCTCTGGTTGTTACTCAATTTGCAACTGATGCTCCGTCAGAGCTTGATGTTTGCTGCGGAAGATTGTTCGCATTGCTGGGTACAGTTGAATAATCATTTGTTTATGATTATTAAGAGTTTCCGAGATGCAAAGGGGGTTTATTATGCATTTCCAATGTCTTTTGACTGTTACCCAGGACAAAATACTCTAAAAATATGATCGAGTTGGGCCTCTCTCAGAATTTCCAGGCTATTTAAACCTTTCCTGGCCTCCACCAGCTTGGTTAAAGTAAGTGTTTCTTTGTTCTAGCTGTTTCAATTTTCAACTGAAAATGCATCTTAATTAGCCTTCTCTGTGTGCTGCTATCTCCGTAGCATGAAATTAGTCAATTCTCAAGTATATTTTTTGTGTTATTACTCATGTGCTCTGTTTCTGATTATCTCAAACAGTAAACTTTAGAAAAATATGAACCGTTTACTGTTTATGAGTCTGTTTTTCACTTTAAAATATTTTGATACTGTAAATGAGTCGTTTAAGCTCTTTTAAAACCATGTGATTTAACAGCTGATACTATGGATGAATATACAACTTAATTGACTTAATTATCATATGATTAATTCACTACAAAATTGCCAACACAAAGAAGTTTCATCTTAGTCACCTTCTATATATACACTACTCTCATAGATAACAAACTAAAAAAGTTGCTAATAATGAATCAACACCAACCATAATCTAACTTAGTGCTTAGCTAATTAATTAAAGTGCTTCCAAAGCACCCACTAGAGCAAATAATTCATAATCTACACAATGAAATGCCCCACCATCTCCACATCCACACTCTTCATGATGACCTCTCTTCTTCAACCTCTCATTTCTTTTCATCTCCACCAGCTTTGGAACTTCAACTTTCATGGCTACTTGCACAGAAGGAGGCTTAACATCTTCGTTATAAACCCTAGTATTATTACTTTGCTTTGAAGGCATCACAACCCAGTTTTCTATCTCCATTTTTGGTGATTCAAGGACTTTTTCCCATGAAATTTCAGCTCTTCCCAAGAGTTGTGACTTGCATTTTTTCCCAAGAAATGATGGGGTTGTCCTTCTCCACCTCAGCTCAAAAACTACACTTTGTTGCTTCAAGTTGGAGATGGAGTCTTCACTTCCTAAACACTCCAATGAGAAGGACTCATTCCAGATGAGATTACCAGAGCTTGGTGAGATCTCTTTTGTGTTTAGTTGAATTCTCTTGTTGTTGCCTGCAGAGAGATAGTATCTAACAAAGAGTCCACCTTTGCTGATGGACTTATTGAACTCAATGTTTTTGGCTTTTATGATTCTTAGTTCACAAGAAAGTGAAGAAAGATACTGAGGAGGATGAGCAACCATTGTTGTGATCTATAATATAACTTCTAGGTATCAGCTAGTCCAACTGGTTGAATTTCTCGTGAGATTTATATAGGTTTCAGAATCGAATTTCGAGAGAAGGGTTTGGTTTCTCTAAGCTTAGAATTGAAAAGGAGTTTGTTTGTGAAGAAGGGTTTGAGATTATGAGGGTATATATATATAGTTGGTTCATGCATAGGAAGACAATTGAAAGAGAAGGTGGTGTTTGCTTTTATGAGAAAGCTTAATAGAAGTCCATAAAGAAATGAAGAAAATGCGGTTAGATTGAGCACCTAGATCTTAGTTTTAATATAAAGTATAATATAATGTTAAGAGATCCATGAAGGGAATCACAGGAGATTGTGAAGAAGATTATATTGAAATAAAATAAGCTCTTAGGAAGCATGAAGAGGCGGATATCATAAAAATAACCCTTTGCAAGTTGGCATTTGCATTAGTGTTATTGGGTTCATGTGCTTTCAGGATTCTAGTTGATCTCTGTAGATGTGATAAGATAATCTGTATATGGAAGTTATAGCTGGAGTTTTTACCGTCAAAAAGAGGGGTTTTGCCCAATCAATTGCATGCCCACCTGGAATTTTTGTGGATGTAAACGTATATTATTTCTTGAATGTGCTTTTTAGTGTCATTTTAATGTCATGTTTATCTTCTACATACTTGCATCATTTTAATGTCATTACTACAGTAGTCTTACTTCATTTACTGTTTTGGATTAAACTAAGACTATTGAGAGCTGTTTAGTGTTTCAACAAATTATATTTACTTAATTCATCTTCTTGTATTTAAGGTAACTGGAATAAAAAATACAAGTATAATATATATTTTTTTTTTGGGCGACTAGGGTTATCTTGGTCAGCTTGTGTGCACCTCGACTAATTTTTAAGGACCCTGAAGTCAAAGACCGAGTAAACCTTCCAATGGTCAACTCTATTAGCAGCTGAAGAGAATCGAACTCAAAATCTCTTGAGTAATACACCTAAGAGTTTATATCCCCACCTGACCACGCAGGGGTGGTTACATACAAGTATAATATTATTGTTATTCCTCTATCATTTTTGTCATCCCTCAACATGGCCTTGCATTATAAAGTTGATATATAGTTAACCATCGAATTTAATGCAAGTTGAAAGTCTGTATAGTTGCGAACCACAAGTGAATAAAACTTAACACAAAGCCTAGAGAGATTTGTGTTAACACTGACACTTTACAACTCAAAAAGCTTAGAGAGGAAAGAGTTATTTATCCCTTGGAGATACAGAAGGGATACCACTAGATATATATACACATAACCACAATAGTGGGGCTTTAATTTGAATTTTTAAATCACTTTTGGCTTATGGCAAACACGTTGGCAACAAGTTGGTTAGTGCTCGTATGCATATTTGCAATCCGTTTTCACTTATTAAACTCAATCTTTATCTTTTGCCAGTTGCCCAGAAGAAACACCATCTTCAATACCCACAAAATCTTATATACTAGAATGAGGATATGTTGGTTAAGTGGTCATCCTTTTCAATATTTTTGAGATACTTTGCCACCTTGAACCTTTAATCATGTAAAGTATTCATAAAGAAACTCAAACCTCAAACCTTATAAGAGTAAATCATCGACCTGACCGCTCGATTAACCCATCATGAATAAGTTATCGAGCAAAATATTATTAAATTTAAAGTTCATAAGATTCAAGAGAAGGATAAACAAAAAGAATTCTATTGGCCGCTGCTACTTTTTATTCATGATGACATCAAAATTATTAATCAAGATATTCTTACAACAGAGATGGGCAAAATAAAACTGAATAGCCCCATGAAGGTGAGTAAATGAACTATACATAGAAAGGATTTCTTCTTTATACTACATAAATTATGGTACTTATGATGGCTTCTAAGATAATCGTCCTAACCTGATTTTTGACACTTTCTAAAGACGATATAATTTCTATTTGGCGGCTTCTCCTTTTTGACCCCTTGCTCATGGGTTTAAGCAAAATAAATACAGCTTGCATTATATAACAAAATAACAAATCATGCTATTGAATGTCATGAATGCCATTGGCGAGTCGTTTGAATGCTGCTGACATAGTGGGTGAGATACGCGATTATAATGTTCGCATATGTGATCAAGGTTACCATCCATTTGAATGGTGAAGACAATTTCGAATATGCATGTGAGTTGAAGAGCTGATACCGTCTGTTTAATACGATTTAAATGAACTGTTAGCTGTAGATGCCGAGTAGACTCATTGCTCAATTTTGCGCAGCTCCCAGTTACCCTCGCCATCAATAAGCCGTAACTCCATTGAGTGGAATGGTATTAGAGCAGGACGCTAAGATTGAAAAAAAAGAAGTATAAGAAACATTTGCTACGTCGAAAATGGAAATAAAACTTGAAAAAGTTGAAATTTATAGTGGAAAGCAACGCATCAGACTGTCAATTTGAACACTGATCACTTGGATGTTATCCACCAACAATTTTACCAGAATCATTTGGTAGTATAAAAATCTCTACTTACTTGAGAGGAGGTAACAAATGTAATGCCCATATCCTTTGCAAGCCTATAAAGTTGTTCCTCGACATCAACACTCGTGGCACTGCCAATTAAAAGATATAAATACAAAACCAAGGTGCGAAAAGATAATAGTAAAGCAAATTGTCTATTAAAAAAGTGTAGGTTTTTGTTTCATACTTGGTGCACTCGTCTAGGATTCCAAATTTAGGCCGGTGAAAGAATAAGCGTGCCTTGTAGAAGACAAAACATCATGTTAAACAGTGAAAAATCCACCAGTTGAGTTCTGATTTTTTATCATTATAACAAGGCCTTTAAGGTGCTATTGATCACTTACCATGCCTAATCTCTGCTGTTCTCCAAGAGAGAGAGTGTCTTCCCACTTGAGATCAGCATCCCAACCAACTTCATCCCTTTCCAAGAGATAGCTTAATCGAACATTCTCCAAAATGTGTTTCAAGTATGCATCCAAAATATTAGTAGTGTCGACTGTTTTTTCACCTGATATTCAGCATGACCGTAATCAGTGGAAACCAAAAAGAAAAGACCAAGAGAAAATATAAAGTAGATGAGCAACCTGTCTACAAGACTTCCTAATGAATAGAAGACATGCTATCCATACTTAAATGGTACAATAAAAAACAGCAGCTTGTGAAAGGGATTTGGCATATGTCCAGTAATAAAGCCACTAGTTTCAGCACTTGTACTTCAGATTGTAACAGGCCGATAAGAAAGAAAGAAAAATGAAACCGTTAAAGGTGACTAATCCTGAAAGCACCACAGCTTGAAACATGAAAAGAAACAAATTAAGGTGCAACTACAGGAAGGCATTTGGGTTATTTTCAGGGTACAGCTAATAGAGAAGGAGAAACAGACTTTCGGTTAGAATTATTCAACAACAATAACATTTATAATATTATATTGTCCTTTGAAGTTGCATTAGTCAATAAAACAGAAATAGATTTGTAATCCACCTCAGTCTGATAGTGGAAAGTCTAGACAAACACTATAAGACACTTTTGTGACATTAGAATGATAACTGTTTCACCATACACAGTATGACAACGGAAACTAAATGCATAATAAGGCATTACAACTTATTCACATAACTTACCATTTCCATGAAGCTTTAATGCCCACAGCTCTGCTTCCTCACGAGAAAGAGGATAAATAATTTGATCCCTCAAGGTTCCTAAGCATGTATATGGCCTCTGTGGAACGTAGAAGATCCCACAACCTGATCCAGCCTCTTCAATAATATGCTGTGATGGTTTCGCAAGACTTCCGCTGACAACGGGCCAAAGACCTCTTAGGACTCTGAAAACAGAACTTTTTCCACTTCCATTTGGACCTGAAAAGTTACACACGTCTCATGTAAACTTACATACAAAGATAAACAACAAAACTCAAGGAAAAGGAAACTATTCACTCACCAGTAACAAGCAGGCTCTTCCCTGGTACTATATCACATGTCAGCCGCCTGGCCAACAGTTTCTGAGCTGGGGTAATAATATCCAGCTCAGAAAAAGAAATGGCATCTTCAGAATAAAGATTGTGGTGTGAATGACTATTGGTCCCATCAACCCCTGGACAGCCAACAAGTTTGTAAGCCTGCTGTGTAACTTTTGAACAACTCAAACACAGAAAAAAATCAAAGCAGAAAACTTTTCCAACTGGCTATTTGCTTATCAATAAGGCGATTGTTACTTATAAGGGCTTCAGAAAGATAAGACTAGTACAAGATAGTAATTGATGATCAGCACACGCAAAGAACAAATTTAGCATGAGACATGTCAAGCAAAGAATGCATAAGAAAGTCATGTCACAAACTCAGGAATTGATGTCAATTTTTTTTAATATTTATAGAAAGCCATTAATTTTGATAAAGTCAAGCCACGATTCCTAAAATGAAGAATCCACAAAATAATTCTGAGAGAAGAGAGAAAGATGTACCAGACTGAGCAGCATCTAGAAGCTCTTCAAGCTCAAAAATTCGGTTGATTCCACCTGACAGCTCAAGGAACTTTCTATGCAATTCAAGAATATCACCAAAGGCTAAAAAGCTTTGAGATACAACAGAAGCAAGGAACCGCAACGCATGTGCCAGCTCACCTGAGAATACATTGAAATGAGATGTGAGTGAGAAAGAAAACGAGTATAGCTCACATCAACTTTTAGTAATAATCTCACCTTGAGTGGAAGTCAGGGCCCGATCTCCCTTGTGTTCTAAAGCATATAACAAGCTCAACCCCCAAGTCACATTATTGGGAAGTTGCTTAGTGACAAAATCATCAAGTATACCAAACAGCCATTTCTTCTTTAAAAGTAACAGAGAATGGTCAAGAAGCTCCCTGAATCTTGAATCAATCATCTGCCATTATAAGTAATATACAGTTCAAGAAAGACAGAAAGTTACAAGGGAGCAGAAATTTAATCTAATAAAACATTAAGCCAAAAAAAAAAAAAAAAAGAACCATAATGGACGATGATTCACATGAGAAA